TATAGATGATCTGACATTCAAGAAACAGTCATAAAGAGCTGCAAGGTTAACTTTCTGTGAGAAACAACCAATCAGAGGACTGTGTTTTTCTACTAACAATAACCAATAATATGTACATAAAAATCTATAAATATGTGTTGATTTCCTCTGTAGTCTGGCTCTTGTCTTCTCTTGTTACACTATTATTATTATTCCCGGTTCCAAGTGGAACACAGGGCTTCAACAACACATCCTCACTTTGTTCTATACTCTGCTGTCCTCTTCATCTGGCGCCATAATCTCTCATCTCCTCCTAGCACGATCTCACCCTCGGACGACTCACTAGTCACTTCCTATTCGGGTGATGACCTGGGGCGCGATTTCATTTGACGGTCTCCTCAACGTATGTCCCATCCATCTCCACTTTCTCCTACACATATTTGCTGAGCAATAGACTCTTCCGATACTGCTACTTCATGAATAACTTTTAGGCGATACACAGCATAAGAGAATAAAAATACTCTGTCTTAAGCAATATAAACAAATATTTAGTAACTGGTAAATTGTTCAGCCATTTTATGATAGATTAATCAAACTATATAGGACTTAACTCTCTGTTTAGCTTACCGACCGAATACTTGACGATCTCTACTTTATTACATGAAGTGAAAGTTAAACCAGTCTTTACTTGGATCATAAATACTTGTCTGTCATAAATCACTTTGCAAATTAAAAGATGCAATATGACCATCAACAAATCTCAATCTTCTCATTTAGTACACTTAGCAATATATTGCTGTCATTTACTATTAACATCTATTCGTTGATTGCTTATATACGAAGCAGGAAATAAATATTTCACTATGCCTGAGGAGAGCTTTGTGGACTTTTGGAAGTGTGTGCGTCCCGACTGCTCACACCGTGTAACAACCTAGCTCTATATCTTAGAACAACTTGTCAACTACGGACATAGAGCACCCCCATATGACCGCATCACAGATTTTGCTCAGTATCGCCCGAAAAGACTTCGAATATATGGTCGAATTATTTACTGTTAGAGATCTGAAACCGGACACACATTCACTCGCGCTAACTTGGCCAGATTAATATACTTACCACAATTCTGCTTCATCTTATTATGCAAGTTTACTATCATTATTATTATTCTCATTATCCTTATTATCACTATTACTGTTTATTGATAACATTGCATTTCGCATACAGATTTTATAAAAGCACCTTATCATCTTTCCACTAGTTTCTGTCCACTTCGCACAATTATATCGACCAGTCATCCTTCACACTTATTATGTCATTCCAACTTCTGCTCCTTTTTTTCTAATTTCCCACTAGTCATCCCCCCCTTCTAGATTACAACTTACATTATGTAATACACTTTACCAGAATCTGATTGGTCTTATGGTTTCTTTGTTAAATATAATTATGACTGTACAGATTAGGAAAATGAATCGTTGAAAAGAAATTTTCTCTTCGCTGTTTACTTATTTTCTTCTAAATATGAATATAATTTTATAAATGACAAGGTGTTTTGTGGATAGAAAGTGTAGACAACTGAGAGACATTGATGAAACCATGAAATATAACACTACTATGCATGAGACACAGAAGTTGGAAAGCGAAATTTAGTAAAGACCCTCAGCCAAAGAGTAGTTGGAGCTATATGCTCAGAAGAAGTAATTGAAGATGAATTAAGCATTGTATATGATACTTTGGTCGAAAATAGCTATCCCGAAAAATTTATCAAGAAACCCATGACAAAGAAAGAGGAAAAGGACTACTCGCTATATGTAAACAAGAAGCCACTTTATTTACGACTGCAATTCAAGGGAGACATACCCAGCGAAATAATTACGAAGAAATTAAGAAAATCAGTTCAAAGAACTTTTAATGCTGCCAAACTACACATCATATTCTCTACACGACCGATGGTGGTTTCTCGGCTAAAAGATGAAGTAACTAGACTAGCCACTTCTAATTGTATCTACCAATTTAACTGAGCTTGTGGAGCGAGTTATATTGGCCGTTGCTCTAGGAACTTGATTTTTCGTGCTCACTTGAGAACATCTCCCACTATGGCTAAGTAAAAGGCATAGTAAGAACCATCAACAATTCGATATCAGACCATCTGATCGAAACCGGTCACAAAGCCAGCCAGCATTGAAGAATCCTTCTCTATCATCTACCGGGTGCCAAATAAATTGTCAAAAACATCCGGGTACCGCATACTCCAAACAGCTGAGACTATCGCGATTCGCATGAATCAACCAGTGCTTTGTGTGTAAGAGACGCAAATCTAGCCACTACTAGTGCCCTGGCCAGCATTCAGTAGAGACTATAAATTCATGAATTTATATTATTATCTTTCCTAATTTTTCTGACATTCAGTTTATTGTTATGTTGATGGTGTTGAACTGTAATCTACTGATATTATTGATTCGTGGTTACTGAAACATTAATGTTGTTCATAACACCAACTCATTCACTACTATTATGCTTATATAACTGTAGAGCCTGATGATGAAGCTATCGAAAAGAGTACTCTTTGTTCAGTATCCATTCTTTTGAAAATTTTAATGGGCATTTTTAATCAGCTGAAATGTATATGATATTTATAAAGATACCTTTGTTGACTGATATCATTGCAGATAGTCAAAGATACGAAGAAATATCTTTAAACAGCTTACACGAAACCTAATACTATATAGGTCCAAACCAAGTCCACTTTTAACAGTTTGAAAAAATTTTGGCATTGGATATATTTTCAAGTATTGGTTTTGTAGGGATTACATGGAGGATTTAATCATGAGCTGACATCAGTTAGAGAACTACTGGAAAACCTGGGAGTACTGGACAGCTGTTTCGTCCTAGTTTGAGACTCATCAGCAGGTTTTCCAGTGGTTCTCTAACTGATGTCACCTCATAATTAAATCCTCCATTGGATATATGATATTTATATATAATAAAGGTTTTTATGTAATTCCCAATGAATGAAAAACAAAACAATATTGTTGTTCGTACTGACGTTTCGCTATTTAATGCTGCTAATAGCTTTACCGATGTATTATTAAACCAGAATTTACAAAATCTCTGCTTTTATATATAACAACTTAATCGTCGTTTCTCAGCATGGGGTCATTTTTGCATTGTCAAGTTGGCCAGTCGGTTAAAAATACTTTGATAAAGCTATTAGCATTAAATAGCGTAACGTTAGTAAAAACAACAATATCGTTTTGTTTTTTTCATTCATTGGGAAATACAAAAAAGCGTTTATTATAATGAAAGAAACCTATATTAAATGAAAAGTTAAAGGAATATTTAAGAATTTACGGTTACAATTAATTACAGTGGTGGTTTACTGCTATCACACCAGTCAGCTTAATGTCTGCATTAACTGAGATACTAGGGAGCGTCTGGGAATCAGAAGAAGTCCCGTCGGGTTGGTGTAAGTCACTGATTATCCCCATATACAAGAAGGGAGACAAGTCTTCCTGTGACAATCACATAGGGATTAGCTTGACTAATATAGTATCTAAAGTCCTAGGCTCAATAATATTGCGTAGACTAAGTGGTGCTCGGGAAGCACAAACACGAGAAAACCAGGCAGGCTTTAGACCACGAAGAAGGTGTATTGATCATATCTTTACCCTCCGACAGATTCTAGAACATAGGAATTCCTACCGGTGTCCAACAATCATTATATTTCTTGACCTAAAGGCGGAATTCGATTCTGTTGACCGAGAGGTACTCTGGTGATGCTTGGCTGTAAAGGGAATGCCGAGAAAATACATTGCACTGATTAAGGCACTCTACTAGAATTCATGCAGCCACGTGAGGGCTTACGGCGAGTTGTCGTTTGAAGTGGTGACGACTAGTGGTGTCCGTTAGGGATGCCCATTATCCCCATTTCTATTCAACTTCATCATAGATGTACTAATGGACTTAACCCTAAGTGACTTCAGCGACTCAGGATTGACTTGCTACCAGGGAATAATCTCGTTGACTTAGAATATGCAGACAATATAGCTCTTCTAGGCGAGGACACTGACAAAATGCAGAGTCTTCTGAACACCTTGAGCTGCAATCGACGAATGTTTGGCATGCGATTCGCTCCCGCCAAATGTAAGATGATGTTACAGGACTGGACTACACCGACTCCTAGTTTAAAAATAGGAAGTGAAGTGGTAGAGCACGTTGACCGCTTCAATTATTTGGGAAGTACCATCAGCCAGTGCCAACGGGTTGATCTCTGACGAAATCTCAGCACGGATACAGGGGGCTCGTTTCGCATTTGCCAATTTACGTCGACCCTGGCGTAGACGAGATATTCGACTATCAACCAAAGGGCGGGTGTACTGCTCATCAGTCCGCTTCGTCCTACTTTATGGCTGTGAGACCTGGCCACTGAGAGTGGAAGACATGAAAAGATTAGCTGTCTTTGATCATAGGTGCCTGCGTTCTATTTCCCGTGTGAAGTGGTATAATAAGGTGAGCAATATTGAGGTTAGGTGTCGAGTAATCAATCGACGAGGTTGTGAAGTTGCATAGACTGAGATGGTTAGGACATGTGTTACGAATGAATGCCAAGTCATCGCCTTCCTCGACAATGGGCAATGTTAGCTGACATAGGATTGGTCAGGCTGGAAAAGAGCTAGTGGAGGTCAAACCAAAACATGGCTTCGTCAGTCAATGAAGTCCACAACAGTTAGTTTAAGCCACATAGGAAGGTGTACACTTCCTGACTGGTTGGAGTCCTCGGGACGGTAAAAACCAATGATTGGAAACAATTGGTGATATGGCTCAAAATCGTTCTCAATGACGCAGATGCATCCACTCCTTGTGACTTATGATTTCCAATGAAACTTTATTGTTCTTCGTTATTACTATTCCTTTGTCTCACACATGTTTACTGTCTCTACTATGCATTTCTTCTACTTTCTTCTCTTGCTTTGTATGCTACATGGAGTGTGGCGACTTGAACTGCCGCACATATGTGCAAAGTTCTATGTCGAAAACAGACAGACAGAGAACCCACCAGTCAGTTAGTCAATCAATCGTTTTCAACACTATCAACACAGTTCTTCTATTTTCAAAAATCAAAAACAAATTGGGGGCTAAGAACAAATAATACTTACATGTTAAAGACGTGTATGTTTATTTTCATAAATATGTATATTCGCAGAGTTCAATTCAAATAAATGAAATATTATATATATGAGATGAAAGCAGCAAAACATAAAAAGAGCTTGGTTTAAATACATCTCTCTACGAAAGAGAAAGTAACGTTACATATAAGAAAATCGGTTTGGAATTCTGCCACACACACACACGCAAACACAAATACACACTTACAAACGCAAAAGAATGTGAAATGAAATTTTAAAAAATGATCAGAGATAGATGAATTCATAGTGGAAAAAAAACACTTTTCTTCTTAATATACACGATAAATGATAAATCCTACCTCTATTGCATAAGTAGGCGTCAAATAATGATGAATAAACTAGGCGTTAGTGCAGATCAGCTAACCAAATGTATAGAAATTCTTTCTCTTTCTTCTTATGTATATATTATTTCTTGGTTGTTTTTAATTCTTCCTCGGATAATTGGCAAAGAATATAACTAGACTGTGTCTATTGTGTCTGTCGTCTGATACACACATGAAAATGCATTAAATGAATGAATAACAATCAAATTAAGTGACAAAAAAAGAAGAACAACAAGAAGAAGAGAAGATACCATTATGAAAGTGGTAAATAATAATAATAATCACCCGATTCAGAAGAAAGCCAAGTAGGATGAAGTGGAGTGAAGTGAACTAAGAAGCTTGGTAAAAAAACAACAATATTCTACAACAATATTACAGAAATATAAAGTCTGTTTTTCCCCCTTTATCATCCCCTCTGTTTTATTAAAAATGAATAGGCAAGAAATAAACAAACCAAAAAGAGCTCATTTAATGTTTCTTTAACAAGAAAACACACAAATAAGAAAGTGATGTTCAACAGAACAACAGGATACGGCTGTCATTGAACCCACGAGAAGCAAAAGAAACAATCTGCTAAAGAAAATGGTGATTTTACACATAAAGGAATAATTTATGTGACATATAACTCATCTATCTCACTTACTTTTTTTAAATTTCAGTAGGGCAGAATTTAGCATTCATGTGTGTGTGTATATTGGGTGATGATTATGCAGCATAAAAATGTACGTTAAAAAAAAGAGAGAGAGAAAGAAAAAAAATCCCGGTGCTTTTAGATTACTGTGTCTTCCAACAATTTGTATGGCTGGAATAAACAGTAGTGTATTATAACATAAAGAGCATATACTGTGGGATTGCAAGAAAATCCTTGAAAATGAAAAAAAGAAATGAAAAGAAAAATGACGTAAAGAAAGAAAGAAAGAAAAAAAGACGGCATGGAAAGAATACGCTGAATAGTTCTTCTTTTTTAAGAGAGATTAAGGGTCTTCTTTATGTAGCACTTCAACATAGTTTGCAGGATATAAACCAGCTCGACCATCTTTACGTCCTTTACACCAACCTTGATCATCAGCTTCTTCAAGTTTATCAAACACATCACCTATACGGATAAAAAACAATAAAAAGGGACGAATTTTAAAAAAAAATTAAAAATTAAGCAACAAACAGTTTATGTATTCTGGTCAACTATAAAATAAATTAAAAAAACTATCAAAATCAACTCTATAAGTAAAACGTGAACTATTAACACTTTTTAAACGTCAACATCACATTTCTTCTTGGTTAGAAAACCACACTTATTTATTCAAACATAGGCGTTATTAGATCACCAGTAAGGGGGAAAAACTGACACTAGGTCGCAGTAATAGACGTTTGTTTATATCTGTGCAGATTAACTCTTGTCACACAGTAGCAGTCTATAAGCGCGATCGACGGCAGCTGGAAGTAAAGAAAAGGGAGTTATAAACCACACATACACACACACACACACACACAACCTAGGTTATTTTATAAAATAAACAAAGAAAAGCAGCATAGAGATTAAATCTTACCCACACCCCCTCCCTTCCCCTAAATAAAAAGTGAATATGCTACTGAGAATCTAAACTTGACAGGAGAACTACGGATAAATACACGTATTATACAGCATATCGAATTTCTGGGTGTGTAAACATAACAAAAAGGTAGGTAAGTGAGACCGGATCAAATTGTTTGTCTGACTGACTTCATCACCACCAATCAAACCAATTATTATTACTATTATTATTGTAGGATACTAGCAACTTCCCGAAAAGATGTTCAATAATTTCGATATCCACACCACATTGGATAAATGGATAAATGAAACATCTCGATAAATCTTGATAAAAAGTTGCAATAACATGATAGAATATGCAACGGATGGCCTTGCTATCAAGATGCGTATAGAAGCAACAAACGTTTCACCACAGTAGAAGTGAGCAAACTGTAAGAAGCGATATTTTCACATGCAGAAGATGAAAACTACAGACCGGACAAGCTGAAAATAATTTCTCAGAAGAAACATATTCAGTAGTCGCAGCTGAAAAGAACTGAGACCGATAACGGAGCGAATGCATATGAACCACATTTGAAAACAGGTTTATACACAGCATACAAGATAGAGACTATAATCAATATGGGAGTATGGAAGTAATTCCACTTCAGTGGATTACATTACATTAGCTGGTACTCTAAACAAACAAGAATAACGCTGAACTAAATTAAACTGAGGAATACATTTGAAATGAGCATGATATATTAAAGAAAACTATTGATCTCCTTATTCATCCTCTTTTCTGCCCACCCTTTCTTCATCTCCACTTCAGATCGACAAATTCACTTAATTTGCTTGATTAGTTCAAATGTTAAGACATTAGTTGACCTTAAATCCCTTCTATTCTTAAAACTCAATAAGATTGCTGAAATTAAACTTCATCATCAAGGTAAACAACAAGCATATAAGTAAGAGAAATTGAAAAGACAACGAATCACATGATACAATCTCCTCACAATAGTTGTGACATTATCTTCCCTATAATTCACACATCAGAATTACCAAACTTCATAGCAATCACAAAAGAACTTTGAGCTTAAGACTTAAGACTAGTATACACCATGTTTCACCATAAACAATAATCTGTTGGTCCAACATGCTGATCACTTTTACTTATTCGGGTAGTTGTGCCGCCACTTTTGATATACCGATTATTGACAAACTCTCAACACTGATGCAAGCCTCGTTTGGCATTTGCCAACTTGTGTTATAAATTTAGTCACTACAAAATATATCTGTCTACCCATAAGGTGGCGGGTGAGTGTAAAGCACAGTGGTTCGTATGGTCGCACCTGTGATATACAGTCGTTGAGAATCAGAGATACAAGAAAATTATATATAAATATTACAGGTTCCGTAGTTAAACTAATAAACTTTAGGTGAAGAAAACATCCTAACGAGTGATTACTTTCGCTAATATGGTTCACAGTAGCACAGATGCATTTACACTCCTTGTTCTCTTCCAGATTATGAAAATCCTAGATTAACTATTCTCCTTCTGTGCATCTTGATCCGGTGTAATTTTATTGTATTTCTTTTCTCAACTTTTACAGTTGCTCTACCGAAGTAATAACAAAGTGAAATGATGAGCTCTCGTACAAAGTACCGGTGATAAATGCAAGTCAACGGAGGTTGTGTACCTTCAAAGATAGAGGTAGGTAGAATGTTTCATATATATATATATATATATATATATATATATATATACCGAAGAAATTTCTTCTTTGATGAGTTGATTTGAAAGTATCAGGAGTGGTCACACCAGTGACTGACTTTTGATCGGAGCTACATATGCAGGCATGGACTTGAAGTTACCGAATGCTAATTAAGAATTCACTGATTGGAGACTCTTCGTGAGTCTCTTATATCATGACATTTCTATTCCTTTCTCTGGGGTGCTTTCTCTATACCTGGTCTTTTGGACTTATCCGTTTCTGTACACTTTTGTGTTTTTTTTACTTGTCTGTCTTACTATATGCGATCAATTAATACAAGGTCACCACAGAATTCCTATTCAATGCAGTCCGATTCTTTGTGATTTCCAAGAAATGGGGGGAGAATCTTAACTATAAGGTGTCTGTCAGATGCAACGCTCAGAATAACTTATATTTCAATAAAGTCCAAATAAAAAAAAACTTAGACTTAATTTTCAACAAAGATAGTGTTAATACGGAGAATATATACACGGCCTACCTGCAACAAAACTGATTTCATCGTCCTCTTGTCCAACATAATCATACAGAGCGCGTACTTTTACACCTGGCCGACCATCATCATACGTCGCATCATTCACTTCAGAATCACAAGCACCTGAACTGACTACTTCATCATTTCCATCACCATCAGCTGATGTTGTCGTCGGTGGTGGTGTTGACATCTTAGAAGCTTTATCATCAAAAGGTGTATGTATACTGAAATATGCAATATGAACAAATTCATAAATATATGACTAGTTCGAATGACAGACAATAATAATAATAACGCCATCATACTCTGAAGAAAGTCATATTAAATCAAAATTAACTCAATAATAGGAAGCAAAAACTTTAACAAATGAAAATACATCATTCAAATGCTTTGTGTACTGTTTCAGCATTAATGTAGTCTTCTTGATATGAACATATGCTATGCACTTGATGATCAATGCAGTTGGTAAACAATTGATCAGAAAATGTGCTCAGTTCGAGATTTGAATATAAGAATTAAAAAAATATTCAGCGAGGGGTCTCTTATCTCACTTTTCTCTATCACTTAACTGTACAATCACATATTTATATTTAATTATTTTGTGTATGTGAGTGTGTACATTGGAATTGTCAAAAAAAATTAGTTAGGGTTATTGTTTACGTCAAAAAAAATGTTTCCAAATTATAACTAGGGGAGGTGAAGGTCAGTAAATATTGACCAGGAGTTGCGTAATATGAAAGACACCCAAAAAATTGGACGTTAATTAAAGAGCACAAAAACACGTGTCCAAAATAAATTATGTAATCAGCAGAAGGAGTAAATAAAAGGGTTGGTTAAGAAAAAGATGTTACTAAAAAGTCATACAAAAATCCAGAAAATAAGCATTGCTAACAAAATAGTATAACTTGGAATTATACCCAAGGCAGAAGAAGAAAGTGGAGAAAGGTTGTTCTGTGTACATAAATCTGAGTTTTCTAACCGGAAAGCAAAGTCTTTGGTAATGCAAAGTATGCGGAAGCTTACCGTTTTCAGGAGGCTTCTTGCTTTGTAGATGACTTTGAATGAACTCTCCTTACATATTGAGAGGAGAGTGTTGAATATGTATTCAATTATAGGACTCCTTATTGATCCACTGTTATCTTTTTGTAGCCAAGCGAGATTATGTTCCTTGGCTCTTTTAAATAAGGCGCGCATCGAACGACCTATATATATCTCCATTATAGATAAGATTTTATTTTGATAAGTCATACAGGGTTATACAGTTACATTAACTGATGACGTTTCAAGCACAAACTATTTTCTCATAATCATATCATCAACAGTTAATATTACTGCATAACACTATGCGATTTATCAAAGTAAAATCTTATCTATAATGGAGTTATACTCTACCACAGTGCCCAAGTTTTATACTTAGACCTATATATTTCGCTCAACATGAGCAAGTAAATTGGTAGATACCCATAGAAGTGGTCCAACGCGATAGTTTATCTTTAGAGTTGTTGAAGAACAATGGGCAGTTTGAGAATACCAATCGTAATGAAGCAGCAGAGAATGTTCTTTTCAGGGAGTTAGATATTCTTCTCTTTAGAATGTCGGCCAGAAGGTCGCCTTTGAACGCCACTATCATGTATAGAATCTTCTTTAGCACAGAGAGAGGTTGTTCCAGATTCACAATTATTATTCCCTTCGGTCCGAGTGGAACGTAGGGCTTCAAAAAAACAACACTTTCATTTCACCTTGTTCTCTGCAGCCCTGGCTGGCTGGCTCCACGATTGTGCATAAGCTCTCATCTCCTCCACGCACAACCTCTTTTATGTTACCCTTAGACACCCGACTCATCGTTTCTGCTCACAAAAGCCCCACTCGAGGACCTGGCGCGAGATGTCATGCAACGGTCCCCTCAGCGTGTGTCCGATCCATCTTGATCTTCTTCAATATATATTTGTTGGGCAACAGGCACTTGGTTGATTCGTCCCAAGAGTTCCTTGTTGCTAATCCTCCTGACTGGCCATCTGATCTTTAGTATCTCTAGTATCCAGCGAAGACAGCTGTTGATAAAAGTCTAGAGCTTCTTCAAAATGCTTTTTGTAACAAGCCAACAGACATTAATGCTAAAAATCCAAGTCTTTTTCTTTATGCCTGGCACAGTAGATTTTCAAACTGATTCCCGATTAATAAAGGTCACATCCTGTCATTCTGATAGTCGCTTTAACGTCTTTATCCGTGCTGCTTGCAATTGAAACGATGCTGCCTAACTAACTAGGTAAGTGAAAAAGTGACTTCCTTCAAATTCCTCTAGTTAATAGTGTTTGGTACTAGTTTTTGTTGGTAATGGTTAGGTATCTTCATCACCTCTGTCTTTTCTCCTTCTTCTGCCAGCTTGCTGGCTTTCTCATTAAAAATTCTCGAGTTCATATGCCATTAAACATATACCATCCAAGAAGTCCGAATCTTCTAGAGTCTTAACGGTCTAACATACTCCTCTCTTCTCACTCCCCAGATTCACAATGCTTTTCCCAAACATTTAACTAAACGTTAAAACCATTTCTTACAAGAAAAAATTGTTAGCATTTGCCAACTAACGGTTTTTTTTGGTAAATTAATTGAATTGAATAGACACTTTTCTAAGCAGTCCAGTCCAAAAAAATACATCAACTGGTGCACATACACCCAACATTATCATTAAAAATGCCGATGATGAAATTTAATGGGAATATTCTAAATACTCAATTATTACCTAGGATTTAACATAATAGAACTAATCCTGGAAGTTATATGTGTGCACCTTAAAGAGATACACGCTCATTAAACGTGATTAGTGATAGTTAATTAGCTAAGTCGATTGGAACAGAAAACAATTGAAATACTATTTAGTTAAGTACAATACCAACAAACATAACCACTCGCCCCAAAATATTTCACTTCTTTTAGCTTCTCCTTATTAATGACAACCATTCAAACACCCTAACTTTGGTGATAGATGCCTGCGCCTTATGGTTCAAACTCACTGACCGACTTGTATTACTCAATGTACAACGTTGGTATGCATCTTGTCAATACGCTTGTGTAAAATTCTTTTTTCCTTCACGTTCCCAGTGGAACATAGGGCCCCAAGCTAGAGGCTTGAAGTTTTGTAGCAGTGTTAATTTTTACAGGATGGGGTTGCTAGCCTCATGCCCTACCTTTCCTCTTTACCACTCCCACTACTGGCTCAACGAAGTAAAGGAGTGCGCCGGCCGGGATCGAACCCCAGAGCGTCCTAATCGCTGTACCACCGACGCACTTGTGTAAAATTACTTACGTAAAATATTTTCCCGCAACTATCTTTTCTTTCAGAACTTCAGGAGTATTCTTTCAGTAATTTCAAGATTTCATCGTGAAATGAAATGACATCAGTTAGAGGACTATTGGAAAACCTGCGAGTATAGGACAATTGTTTCACCACAGCTTGGAACCCTCCAGTAGTACGCACCCACTGAGGTTCGAACCCAGAACTCTCTGGTCACAAGGTAATCTCGTAGAACAGTAAGCCACTGGGAACCGATCGACTTGTGATGAATTCACTCACTACATATGAGATTAAATATATCAGTGTGGATTACAACAGTGTTACAACTTCATGCTAACAATTTAATAATATCTTGGCCTGATGATATTAGATGGTTGGAGGCAATCGACAGGAAGCCTTGGACTTAGGTTTCGTGCTAGTTGGCACTCGTCAGCAAAGCGTATCTGATAGAATTCAGTCTGCACCAATGAGAGGACTAGACATATCACACTAGTTACCAGTGTCAAATCAAAATATCTTGGCCTACTAACAAAATCCATCTATTCTCTGCACAAATTTGATTCACACTTTTTCCCGACTGTACTACATTAAACGCGAAGAGTGGTGATAGTGGATTACAATTTAGGATAACATATTTTCAGTGCTACTCTTGAACACTATAAAAACTCTTTTATTAGTCTATTTCTGTATCTCATTTACAGTATTCTAAACAAACTTGTATCTCATTTCCTAGAATCACCAAACATACTTAACTTTGTTTATAAACCATTTCGGTAATCCTTGCTTATTTAAGACCATTAAATATTGTCAATTTATTTCAAATGGTGGTTTTATTAACTAATATTCTTTAAATATTCCCATTATTAACATTAGATCAAGACATATAAGCGAACAATATGATTTTCGATTAGATCTTCACGCTTTACTCTAATTTACACAGATTCATATATAGAAAATTTAACCAATGACGGTGAGTTTTTGGATAAAGTAATAATAATAATAATAATAATAATAATAATGTGTTAAACGATGATTATAATGCTACAGGATGGAGTTTGCTGGATTTCTGGTGAGAAGTCGTGACCAGTGGGGCCCATCCAGCCGGGAGTAGGGATGAATTTCCCACAGATGATATTGTGTTGGTCGCTCTAAAATCCCAAATTGATAAAAGTTAGAATTTATGGGCCACTTAATCGGGTCCCAATGGCTGAATGGTTTACGAGCTCGCCTTGTAAACGGAAGGTCCTGGGTTCGAACCCCAGTGGATGCATACTTCAAAACTAGGATGAAACAGCTGTCCAGTACTCCCTGGTTTTCAATGGTTATCTAACTGATATCAATCCGTCAAATTCGAAAAACAAATAAGATCCCTGCAAATCAACCCTTAAAAACAAAAACAATGGTAATAAGGTTTATGTACTTGGCGATATGAACAACGAAGATAGTAATATGTGTATATTTAGCCGATTCGATAAATAAATTAGGTCAAATTTTATAGGTTATGTAGTACAAAATATGAAGTGAACAGATAATCAGAGTTTAAATTAACATCATTAAAACAAGAAGGAAACGGGAAATAAGAAAAGGTGGGAAGGTTTTAACTAGACTTTACCTAGGTAGAACAAACTTCTTTTGTATGCAAAGAAGAGAATTTTTCTCTTAAATTCCCATAGCTTAAGCTATGTGTAAGAGGCGGGTTCGAAAGGTTCAATGGAATGCAATAGATAACCTTGAAGGCACTTCTTCTATCCACTTGATGACCGCTACCAATCAAATGAAACAAAATAGAACTTCTTATAGATGTTATTTGGCCTTTTCCGAACCATCATTATTTTTGTTATCATTATAATCATCGTTATTAGTAACGTTCAAAACATTTAACACATTATTATTAATATTATTATTTGATCCACAAACTCACTGTCAGTGGTT